GCGCTGCTCCACTTTGGCACAGTGAACAGCCTCCTCTGTTTTACATGGAAGAATCCAGAAGTGAAGTAATGCTTGACCTAAACGGCCTCGGCCCAGTATACCTGAAGGAGCATCTCCACCCCCATCATTCTTCCCGGACGCTGAGGTCCAGTGCCGAGGGCCTTCTGGCGGTTCCCTCATTGCGAGAGGCAAAGCTACAGGGAACCAGGCAGAGGGCCTTCTCGGTAGTGGCGCCCGCCCTGTGGAACGCCCTCCCACCAGATGTCAAAGCGATAAACAACTACCTGACATTCAGAAGACATCTTAAGGCAGCCCTGTTCAGGGAAGTTTTTAATGTGTGACATTTTAGTGTATTTTTGGTCTCTGTGGAAGCCGCCCAGAGTGGCTGGGGAAACCCAGCCAGATGGGCGTGGTACAAATAATAAATTTATTATTACTATTACTATTATTATTATTATTATTGACCTGGTGCACCCTCAGTATCGGGCACCACGGTAACGGTCCCATGTGCCACTATGCTACATGCACATGAACTGCTGTGGCAATGTGGCACCTGGAGATTGCTGTGAGCTGCTTGGTCGATGTGGAGGATGTCTCTGCTGGGTCTGAACCAGCCCCACAGGACTTCACACCCACACCAACTAATATTACACCTCATATCCATTTGAGACCTTCTTATCACAGGAAAAAGCGCACATAAATCTGACGAGATCAAAGGCTCACATCCAGCAAATACTGGACTGCTGTTGTGCAACTAATTACATCCTGAATTGTTCTTTCCCCACCCTCAATTTCCATTTGTTCCATCTTTAGCTGCAAACTCCCAGCCAAGGATTTCATTGTTTCTTTCTGGAGGGCACATTTTATAGGAAGGGAGGATCCCAGTCGGAGCAATGGATTGCAGCCATCCCTTTAGATGGAGCTAATTAACTGCAGTTCAGGTTGAAAGCGACAGAGTTCAGCAAAAGCAAACTCAGCCACCCCACTCGATGCATGTGACGGTGCTGTTTGGCAGCTGACATACAAGCCAAGCCCCCAATTTTCAGGACAGTTTGTAGCACGATCAACTGCACACTGGACAATGCCAAACTGCCAGTTTCCCACCGGCTGCTTCACAGATCTTGGGTCCACACAGTTCTATTTTTAATAGCAGTTCTCAGCTGATTGTGCCTGATCAACTGAGGTGTTTTTGCTCAGAAAAGGTGATGGATACCAAAAACATACACACATATACAAGCGATTGCCTGATCCAGTAGCCACCTCTGTCCATAATTCTGCATACGTAATAAAAGGAAATATTGTGCGATTTGCACGACACTTCTTAGTCCGTCCAGGCTGAACCTGCCAACATGAAAGGAAAACAGCCCAAGACAGTCTCCTAAGTGGGAAGATTTTATAGCTTCCTTTCATTTTATTAGAGTTGATCTGGAGTGACGGATCCAAACACAGAACCAAAACCAGATAATTCTTCCCTGAACACTTGTTAAGCCTGCATGCACTTTGCTAATGATCCGAAGTGCAGTCACCATCTCCAGACACACAACAGTTGTTGTGGTAGTGGTGGTTGCCTGCTTTTCCTAAACTCAGTTTTCTGTGTTGTTGTTTTTTGGTTGCTTGGCCAGTTGTCAAATGTGAAAGTTTGACCAAACCTACTGCAAAATCCAATCTGGCATGAGGTTTTGAGGGGTGGGGCTTGCTCTGAGCACTCTTCACCGCATTCTAACTTTGGCGTGAACCCCAAAACTGTGAAAACAGGGTACTGGGGGGAAAGACATACAAATCAGATACCTAGGTCCAATTCAAACAATATCCAGCAAAGTTTTACTCTCCAATGTAATGAATCCATCCTTTCAAGACAGCTCCAGTTTTGACCACATCTAACTAACAAAATCGTTAACTAGAACCTTTTCTAATAGCAGCAGTATACCAGACCTGCCACTGGAGCCCAAAGTGAAGAGACAGGGAAGAACTGCTTGCATCAAAGCACCCCATTTCAGCCTCCAGGCCTTCCAAAGAGGACGGGAAGCAGACTGACACTTTGGGGGGTGGGGGTGGAGAAAGAGAAACCACAGGAAACCCAAGGAAATGCCTTCCAGGATACTTCTCTAAAATTGCTGAGACCTATTCAGGGACGCGGGTGGCGCTGTGGTCTAAACCACTGAGCCTAGGGCTTGCTGATCGGAAGGTTGGTGGTTCAAATCCCGCCAGAGTGATGGAGCGAGCTTCCGTTGCTTGGTCCCAGCTCCTGCCAACCTAGCAATTCGAAAGCACGTCAAAGTGCAAGTAGATAAATAGGTACCACTCCGGCGGGAAGGTAAACGGCATTTCCGTGCGCTGCTCTGGTTTTGCAGGAGGGCCTTAGTCATGCTGGCCACATGACCCGGAAAAACTGTCTGCGGACAAATGCCGGCTCCCTCGGCCAGTAAAGCGAGATGAACGCAGCAACCCCAGAGTCGTTCGCAACTGGACTTAACTGTCAGGGGCCCTTTATAGAGACATTCATCTTCCCTTCTTAACTGCACAACCATGCATCCTGGTTTGTTAATTTACTTTGAGTAAGAAGATACGAACTGCGAATGTCTTTTTAAAGTCACATTGAGTATTTAACCCAGCCCTGCGCCCCCTGCATTAGGTCATGTGGCGCAAATAGAGGCTTAAGCCACAACAATCACAGAGCCCAGAAAAGGCTCCCACAGTCTTGTGCCTGAAGGGTTCACATTTCCATCAGCTCCAGCCAACATGGTCAATGATCAGGGATAATGGTAATTGTAGCCTAACCACATCTGGATGTTAGGGAAGGGTGGTCTAGATGCAGTATTTATCAACTTGGGCTACCCAGCTGTTGTTCAATTACAACTCCCATCATCCCTAGCTAGCAGGACCAGTGTAGTCCAACAACAGCTGAGGATCCAAGTTTGAGAAACACTGGGACACTAGAGGGTTTTCCTCAGATATGGGAAAGCCAGGTTCACACGCCCGTTCAGCCACAAAGCACACTGGGCAAGTCACTTTCTCAGCCTAGCCTACCTCAGAGTATTTTTGTGAGGATAGAATGAGATAACGCCACATATGACCAGCTCTGAGTAATTTAAGAAAAGGTGGGGTAGAAATTATTGTGAATTTTAAGTATGGCACCATCAATGTGTTCAGCACATCACAGTGAGACATACAAAAGGAGAGGATCTCGTCCCATGAAGTGGCCACTCCAGGGAACCTTACAGAGTGGCACAAAGTTGCTCTGGTAATCCAACAGCCTCCTCAGACCCTCCTCCCACCAGATCCCCAGACTAAAAATGGCTCAGACATGATGGAACTACACTGCTTGGACAGAGAAGGAGAAGCTATGGTTTTGCAGATAGTGCAGATATCGTCGGACTTCAACTCCCATCATCCCTAACCATTGGCTATGCTGGTTGGGGCTGATGGGAGTTGGAGTCTGAAATTTGGAGGGCCACAGCTTCCTCACCTATTGCATATAGGAGCTTATTTGGATTGCAGGCCCACAGCACTCGTGGCTGTAGCCATGCCACAGCAAGAGAGAAGGTCTGGGTCAAGGAACCAACTCAAGAACCTGCACCGTTTACATGGGTGTAAAGAAGTTAACTTTATGCTGTGATATATTAACTTTATGCAGTGATTTATTAACACACTGTGTAGGGGACGCGGGTGGCGCTGTGGGTTAAACCACAAAGCCTAAGACGTGCCGATCAGAAGGTCGGTGGTTCGAATCCCCGCCACGGGGTGAGCTCCCGTTGTTTGGTCCCTGCTCCTGCCAACCTAGCAGTTCGAAAGCACGTCAAAGTGCAAGTAGATAAATAGGTACCGCTGTGGCGGAAAGGTAAACGGTGTTTCCGTGCAGTGCTCTGGTTCGCCAGAAGTGGCTTAGTCATGCTGGCCACATGACCCGGAAGCTGTACGCCGGCTCCCTCGGCCAATAAAGCGAGAAGAGCGCCGCAACCCCAGAGTTGGTCACAACTGGACCCAATGGTCAGGGGTCCCTTTACCTTTACTATGGGGCAAAATGGCCCCAAAAATTATCTTTGTAATTCACAGCCACTAAAAGCCTGTCTGCACATATGAGCATAGCCATGATTTTTGTTGGGGGGGGTTAAGGAAATCACAGGTAAAAATACCCCCTGAAGAGGCCATTATGGGGGACAGGCTTCTACTGGGGGGCAGAACCTCAAAAAAACAACAACTTTCAAATGCTTTTCAATAATGTTTGTGGATCTAGCTGCCCCCCGCCAGGCTACACCCATATCTGGACAGCAGCTTTACATTTCCTTCAAAAGATTTCCAGGCCTAAACATTGTAAAATTTTTGAATGTTGATGACATTGAAATGAAATGAAGGGGTTCTAGCAACAAGGTAAAATGTAAGATTGGATTGATAATAGATGAAAATTCGAAGCTAAAGTATGTGAGGAAAAATAATTAAGGATAAATTAATAGGATATGAATTTGCTGAACCAATTTTTTAAAAAGGGATACAAAAAAGGGAGGCGTGAGGAAGTCAGGAAAATAAGTTAATCAAAGATGAGAAATTAAAAAAGAGGGATTTTTGGGTTTTGTGTATTTTTTTCTTCTTTTTCTTTTCTAGGTTAAACGTTTGTATTTTTGTATTTTGCAACCTTGTATTTTTGTGTTTTTATATTTTTCTTGTGTTTGTATTCTTATTTTTTTTCTGTTTGTTGTTCTGGAATTTTTATTGTTAAACTTAATAAAATATTATTTAAAAAAAAAAAAGATTTCCAGGCCTAACTTTGGCCAGACTTGAAAGAGTTTCAGAGCTGAAGACTCTCTATGTGTTTGTGATGCTTGTCTTGGTTATGGGGACACAGTGCGTAAGAGGCTGTTCTTGGTTTATCTTAGGGATACCGTTTACATTCATACATGAAAAACAGTCAGTTAAAATGCACCAACATTTTGGAAGTTAATAGTGAGCGTCTACTCAGTCACAAGCAATAGTACATACAATGAAGAAGAAAAATATTCCCTTACCTTCATAGCAAGGCATTAACCTTTTGCCATTGGACCCTAGATTGGGTGGGATGATGTTGCAGAAACCGTGAGGAAGGATGTACTCTGTCTCATAGTAGACATTCTTCCAACGGTGTGCACAGGCCTATGGTAAACAAACCAGACGGGGGAAATTAATGCTTATACCTGGATCCAGAAAATCAGTGCCTGGAGGCAGAAAGTGTCCCCCCCCAAAAAAAAAACCCCCAACAACTCTGAATTGAAGATGGTAAGACAGAGGGATCATTCCCTGTTCTACACACACTCCATCTCCATACATAGGTTTGGCAGATGTGCGTGGTGCTTCAGAAAGTTGCGAACCCTATTTGAGCAAGTAGGCAACAGCCGGACAAAAAGGGAAGGTATTCAGCACAGGCAATGATGACACTATCTTCAACACATGCTTATGGGCATCAGGGTGTGTCGCCATTCTTTAAAAAGCATTACTGAAGCAATGAAAGCTTTTGAACTTTTCAAATTAAAACTAAACAAGTTTTAAAAAAAATTAGATTATGGCATGCCCAGGTTCATCTCCTTTTGTTATCAAGATAGATACAGGCAGCAAGTCGCCTTGCAAGCTGTGTTATCCTCATACCTTATTAGTAAGGAGATGTGGTAAGGTAAATTATTTGACTCTGGGCTTCAGTGTTCTCATCTGCCTTTGCGGTCCTTCCTAATTTATTTCTCCACCTCTTCATTCCACTGTCCTTTCCTAGCTGTCAAGCCTCAAAAATTATTCCAAGGCAGAAGGAACATCTCCAGATGTGAGTCAGCCCAGAGTGTTCCTCACAGCTGGAAGTCTATTCCCTAAAAGAAGACAGCCACGGCCACCACCTTCCACATCCTTGGGTCCCCAAATGTTGTTGGACTACAACTCCCATCATCCTTAGCTAGCAGGACCAGTTGTCAGGGATTATGGGTGTTGTAGTCCAACAACATCTGGGGACCCAAGGCTGGTCTATGCCCTAACAGCCCTGGGAACATTATGACACAAGCTTCAGGCTTGTTTAGTTCGAATGAGCTGTGCTCAGCAATGCAAATGCTTTTATTTACTGAATTAAGCTATTTATCACACAAGCCTATCGATGCCCCTGGTCCTAAGGGTTTCTGTGAAGCTCTCTGATGTCAGAGCGAGGAATGCAATTCTACAAAGGATGTTTATAATGGCACTCAGCTTTGACAGCCAGATGTATGTAAGGAAGCTTGGAAGAAACTGAAGTGAAGTTATTTGCTCTTTTAAGTAGACTCAGTTATGGTTTCAATTCCCAACACACACGGCATTCAGAATTTGGTTTTAGAAAAAATAATCATGAAATATTTATATCTAGAGTGTTCAGGAAATAGCTTCTCTCATGGAGCATTTCCACTGTGAATACAACACACAGATATACATTTTAATGGAAGACAGTATCCTAGAGACATCCAGTGTCAAGGCCAACTTTCTGCAAGCCTCCCCTAGGAAACCAGTGAAGAGAGCATGTCACAAGGAGGAAGGAGTCTTGACTGCAAAGAAAATTTATATCCAATGCAAATCATTGAAACAAAAGGCCCCTTTAAATTATGACTAAGTAACTAAAGTCTCACAATTCCTCATTTGTAGATTTATCTTCCACATCAGGAAAAAACTGCCAATGACCTACACCAGTTCCTCAACTTAAACTCTCTCAGAGGAGCATTCACGGCTGCTATAAATGGAGAAGATCAGCAGCGAGTCTCTGGCACCACCAGCTCAGAAATGAAAATTTTGAGAAACGCAGGAAGAGGGGAAAGGGGGGGGGACTGATCCCATCTCACCCAAATGGCCTAGAATTTAGAGCCAAAAGTGTACCACAAGGCTGCTGGCATAAGAAGTCACCTTATAACAGCCCAGTGTCATCTACTCCACCGAGAGCCAACACAGTACGCTCAAGATTTTTTGGACTACAACTCCCATCAGCCCAAAGCAGTTTGGTCAATGGTCAGTGATGATGGAAGCTGTAGTTCCAGACATACGGAAAGCATTATGTTGGCTACCGAAGGTCTGCCTCACAGTGGCTCTCTGTGGTCTCAGGCAAAGGTCTTTCACTTCAGCTGCTACTGGGGATGGTAGAGATCTAACCTTGGTGCTTCTGCATGTAGTCTGCCACTAAGCTAGGGTCCCTCCTGTAAACAAACCCTTGATCAACAATAGTTCTGTCAAGCAAATTCCCCCTTCTGACTTAACCACAGTTAAGAGAAACAACAGCACTATTCACCGTGGTCAACCACTACCCATGTCTAGATTGGTAAACAATCACCAAATGGGCTTCACATCCCACACACGGGAAACTGTGGTTAGTGTTAACCGTGGTTAAGGGTGAGTATTGATGTTTTTCTTAACCATGGTAAAGCTTAGGGGGAGGGGTTTGTTCCAGAGAAAGTGAAATCCCAAGGCTGATTCCTACTGGGGGAATCTCTGTGCTTGTCTGGGGCAAGTTCTTGGCAGAGACAAGATGGAACCCGGGGCCTCCTCATTCACAATCCACACAGTCACTGCCATATACCAGGTCCCATGGGAATATTAAACTATTAGAATATAATGAGCATAAAGAATGTACTATCTATCCACTGACTAAAAGAGCCAGTGGAAGCGTGAATTGATTAAAGTTCAGCTTGGGTGCTTTATCTTAAATCAGTGGTTTTCAACCGGTGTGCTATGGCACCCTGGCATGCCATGAATGATGGTCAGGGGTGCTGCGGGCAACACTGGCCTCTGTCCTTCTTTCCTTCCCTCCGTCCTCTGATGCCCTCTTGCGTCTCTGCCTCCCAAAGGCTTGCACAACTGTTTGTTGCAGCAGCCCTGGCTACAAGCTCCCCAGGTGAATGGTGTCTCTGGGGCTGGGCAAGGGGGGTTTCCCAGGCCTCTGTGGGGCAGTGTGAGGAGAAACATCTCTTTGGGGTGGGGTGGCAGCTGTGGCTGCTTAGAGGACTCCCAAGGAGATGAGAGAGAAGAGGAGGCTGAGGGAACACTCCACAAAGGAGGGTGTTTGAAAAAGAGTGAGAGGCTGCTAGTTCTGCAGTCTCCTGAGCCCCACAGAGGTGCCACGGAAAGAATGTAGTTGGGCAAGGGAGCCATGGACTCAAAAAGTTTGAAAACCTCTGTCTTTAATATTTATTACACGTATTGTTTCTTATAAGAACCTTCCAGAGCTCTTCTGTCCAAGGCCTTCTGACCAGCTGCACACCTGACTAGTCTCAGCAATTGAGCATCAGACTTTCCAGACCATTCAGCGGATATTTTCTTCAAGTAACAACAAGGCTTTTATGTGAGCTCAGATACCCAACCATGAAGAGATCACTTCACATTCTGAATTTGATAAACGAGCCTCTTATAAACTTGTAAGGTGGCATTCAAACTCAAACCACCTACATACAGGAAGCTGCACTGAAGTTAGAGGTTTAGTTGTTTGGCTGTTTCAAATAAGTTTAGAATGGAAATACTTCTTTTTGTTATTATTAATTTTACGTGTAAGTATTAACAAAAAGGAAAGGGGGAAAAGTGTATTAAAAATAAAGAAAAAATAAAATAAAATAACAACAATACCACCAGCTCACATTAGGAATACATAGAAATTCTTTCTGACGAGGAAAAGAAACAAACTGCATGATAAATAGAGCAGGTGCGTCTTGAAAGAACAAGATTAAAGGATGCCTGGCTTTTCTCCAAGATTTAATGCACTGTCCCCAGTTACTTTTCCAGTGCAAATAAGATAATGAATTTTACAACTGTAGCATGGAGGAACGAGGAACTTCTATTGTATTACTGAGACACTTAAATTAATACAAACACTAACTCTCATGTTGATATTTCAAAATCCAAGCGGCTTTCTAAAATTATATTTTAAGCTCATGCTGTCAGCACTTTATTCATCTCTGGTTTTCTATTTAGCTTTCTATCTCAAACTGATATTTAACAGAACCATGTTTTACTGGAGCACCGGCAGACTTGTGAAGGTCTCTGTTTATTGACTCATTTAACCAATCACGCCTTAGGACGAAACTCTCGATACCCACCATGATGATCAAAATTAGTTTCAATAAATATGAGACTAGAACTGCAGCACATCATTCTCCAGGTTTCTTTATGCAGTAGAATCATAGAATTGTTGGAAGGAACCATAAGGGTCATCTAGTCTAACCCCCAGAATACAAGAATATTTTGCTCAATGGGCTCAAACCCACAACCCTGAGATTAAAAGTTTTATTTATGCTCTTTCCCCAAGGGGCAAGTGGGTGTACAAACAGGGCTGGTATTTTTGCAACAGCTGCTAAAACCAGAAGGATGTTTGGGGTGGGAGGGCTTCCAAAAATACAGTGGTACCTCGGGTTACATACGCTTCAGGTTACATATGCTTCAGGTTACAGACTCCGCTAACCCAGAAATAGTGCTTCAGGTTAAGAACTTTGCTTCAGGATGAGAACAGAAATCGTGCTCCGGCGGCAGGGCGGCAGCAGGAGGCCCCATTAGCTAAAGTGGTGCTTCAGGTTAAGAACAGTTTCAGGTTAAGAACTGACCTCCAGAATGAATTAAGTATTTAACCCGAGGTACCACTGTATTTGCAAAACATTGCAAGTAATTTTGGATCACCATTGCTTGGGCCGACTGTCACATCATGTGCACTAATTATGTCACAAACATTGGTAACGGCTGCTAAGGACCATGGAATGAGTGTGGACAATCACACTGTTCCTTTTCAGAATAATCCTCACCAGTTCATGCTCATCACTGATGTCTCTCAGCACAGAAAAATACCAACTCCTGCTGATTTCAGTAGTTAACTTCTGATCCCAGAAGGACCAGCCACAAAACTAGGTATGCCTGTCTAATAAGTGTACCGAAATCCTTCTACTTAATATTTAGCTTTAGCATACATTAGAAGGTTTATTGTAGAATCACGATATGACGTATAATGAATCTGCCATCTCTATAGGTGCACACATAACATCTACTCGTGGCACCACTAATTTCATGCTTTTTAAAAGAAGAAGAAAGGAGACCCGACTCATTCATAGGAATACAAAGTGCTATTCATTCTGTTCCAAGTCCTAAAGCCTTCACCACTTTTAAGAGGAAGCCCTCGAGGGTGACAGAAGCAGGTGTGACTCCTTTGAAGCCTTCTTTCCAGAAGCAAGCTTTGTCCCCGGGACCCTATTTGCCTTCCTCTTAAAGGATGTGAAAATACAGAGTTAGCTGGATTCTGTCAATCACCGGCACAGCAAATTAATTCGCACGCATTACTACCGGCGACAGCGTGGCACTTCACATTTTGATGGGATGAAGGGAACAGCAAACTTACCAGGATACTTCCTCCAGCTGTGGGCTGCCTTGCCAAGCTTACACCCATCCATTCATCATCTCTGTCCTCCTTGCATGTCTTCCCGCAGGTCATTCCTTGAACATTCGCTAGAATGAATGCAGGAGCAAGTGTGAACGTTAATGATGGAGGAAGATGGCATTCGTTTATTTCCACAGTGATCACACAAGTAAGTTGACATAGTTATTTATCATATATCTGGTGAATTCAGGATGAATCTGCGTGGGCATAATACCCTCTTCAATGGCAATGGAGAACAAAGGGAATGCATAAATAGAAATAAGTTTTTCTCCCTTTCTCACGGAAGCAGAATCTGGGGTCATCCAAGGAAGATGAATGATGAAATATTTGAAAGCCCAAGGAAGAACTGAGTTTGCTGATCAATTATGGATTTGCAAATTTGATACCACAAGGAAAAGCAGCTGTAATAGTTCACCCCCTGCCAACTTCCAAGAGCTTTTGGATCCAGACCCCAAAATGTATTAGCACTTTTTGCTCATTATGGGGCAATGGAGGGAGAATTGGGAGGATCATGATTTGCTCCCATGACGTATCAGCCCTGGTTTTCTTTTACAGCTAGCTAAGGGTAGGGGAGGGACACGAGTGGCGCTGTGAGTAAAAGCCTCAGCGCCTAGGGCTTGCCAATCGAAAGGTCGGCGGTTCAAATCCCCGCGGCGGGATGTGCTCCTGTTGTTCGGTCCCAGCGCCTGCCAACCTAGCAGTTCAAAAGCACCCCCGGGTGCAAGTAGATCAATAGGGACCGCTTTCTAGCGGGAAGGTAAACGGCGTTCCGTGTGCGGCTCTGGCTCGCCAGATGCGGCTTTGTCACGCTGGCCATGTGACCCGGAAGTGTCTCCAGACAGCGCTGGCCCCCGGCCTCTTGAGTGAGATGGGCGCACAACCCCAGAGTCTGTCAAGACTGGCCCGTACGGGCAGGGGTACCTTTACCTTTACCTTAAGGGTAGGGGAACTGAGTTAAGACAAAAATGTATAAAGGAAATAGATTTTTTTATTACACTTAAATGAGTATTTCATATGCATTTACACTGCTTTATATCCTGAATGGGCTAAACACATTTTAACAAAGTCTTTCTCTGTGGCCATATCAGAAACATATTATTACAGGCTTTGACTTCTGATTTGCAATTATTTAAAGGAGAAGCATAAAACACTTCAACATGCATACAGGTTCTGAAGGGAACCTGGCAGTACCACAGCATGAATAACGATGAGAAGCTTCTCTTCTCAAATAATATTTCCTCCATCTGAGAAATACTGATTGTCAAAAACCTCCAGTAAGGCACAGATCTAAGTTTCTTGTAGTGCAACTTTGGTCAGAGTAGGGTCGGGAGATGTTCCCCATGCAGCGAAGCCCTAAGGCTCTTGAGAACGAGAAAATTTTCAAAACAGAGTTTGCATATAAACATAAAACAGGGTAGACCCATACATACCTCGGCCCATATCCAGTTCTGTGCATCTCCTGTCAGGGTTAGTGTGAACACGACATTTAAACACAGCTCCTGGGGACTTAAGAGAGGCACTGTATTTAGACTCTGCCTTGGGGGCGCCAACCAAAACCCTGGAAATTGAGAGCAAAGGAATGTTTCATTAACGCTACAAGAAGGAAATGAATGCACACAAGTTGCACAGTAACAGCTCGCTCTCATTGGCAGGCTATGTTTTCCCAACACCCTTAGGAAGCTATGATCCAAGATACATGTGCCCACCCACCATGGCAAGGCAAGGCATTTTCCTTTAATAAAACCATGAATTATTTGAAGGAGCTAAGAATGCACAATACGATCTCTAGCTCCACCCCCCACCCCAATATAAGCTTTTGGGAAAGAATGGAAATTAACAACAGCAACTATGTATGCATTCTATCCCCACTCAGCCCCAACTCCTCAGTTATAAATATGAGCACTCCTCAACCCAGAAGAACGAACGTGGAACATTCATTAAAATGGTCTGAGATTGAAGTACAGTGGTACCTCGGTTTACGAACTTAATCCGTTCCGGAAGTCCGTTCTTAAACCGAAACCGTTCTTAAACCAAGGCGCGCTTTCCCTAATGAGACCTCCTGCCGCCGATGCCCTTCCACCTTTCGGCTTCCGTTCTTAGACTGAGGTAAAGTTCGCAAACCGGGACACTATTTCCGGTTTTGCGGAGTTCGTAAACCGAATAGTTCATAAACAGGGCTGTTCTTAAACCGAGGTAGCACTGTACACCCTGTGGGTGTGAGCTTAATCTGTGATGTAAAAGATTTTCCAAGTCTGCTTTGATGCCATGTGGATGACAGCATATAAGACTTAATACCCGTGCATGCATTTCTCTGAGAAGACGACATGTTTGGTAATTGGTTTTTAAAAAAATCGATAAAGTTTGGAAGAAGGAAGAAGAAGAAGAAGAAATTATGCTGGAAGTTGGGATGGGAGACTGCCCATTTTAGTTTCTCATTTTTCTGATCTTAAATTTAGTTCTCTATATTTCCACTTCCATTTAAGATTTTTTTTTTAAGTCACCATGAAAAGTCGGCAGCCATTTACTGTGAGCTTCTCCTACATTTGTATGTGATTTTGTCCCATACAAAGCATTTTGTATTCCATTTTGACTAATAGATGCACTCTTTGCACACTTTGGCCTTAGTAGACACATTTTTATAAACATCACTTGGTTGGGGAACTGCACTGCAAAATTCAGAGCAGTGCAAATTTCAAAGGATGGCTGTTTTCCTGTTTGTATAATGTTTTAGAAAGTGCAAATTAGGTAGGTTAGCCCCTTAAGTGTGACCTGAATTGAATTTGTCCCCATAACCAGATGCAAGAAACGCCATTTTTGTACTCAAGGTAAATGTGTGCATCATAATGCACACTCTACAATAGGGTATCCAGAACATTTCTCTGCCTCAGGCAGAACAGCAAATGTTGCCCCCCCCCCCGCCCTTAGCACAAATCAAAAAGCACTGTACCCAAGGCCAGTCAGAGTCTTGTGGCAAAAGAGGCGGAAAATCACACAAACACCTCTCCACCTCATTGCCTGCAAAAATACAACAATAAGTAAAGCAACTAACTATTTGCTTCCTTTTCATGAAACCCAAAATCTGCACCCTGCTCACTCTGTCTAACAGCAGGGCTAGCTCTGCCCTACAAAATTTGGTGGAAGAAAACTGGGACACTCATTTCATTTCAGAAAGCAGAAATTGAATTCTTCCAATTAGCCCCTGTGGATTCTATGTATATGGTAATCCAATGTGAGCAGATGATGATATCACATTGCAAAAGTAGCATCAATGTTTCCAGAAGCCTTTTTCTGAAATGGGCAAGAGCTTCAATAGGTTGCAAGTTTTTAAAGCCAAGCGAACACTCTGCCAGCTGAACTCAGGCCTACCTATGTAACACAATTCACATAGATATCAACAACAATTAGCTAAAACCAGAAGGCACATATAAAACATATCTGAGGAGAAATTTTCAGTTGCTTACATTCAACCCGAAAAGCATTTTACAAAGTGTCAGCCTATCTTATACAGTGGTACCTCGGGTTAAGAACTTAATTCGTTCTGGAGGTCCGTTCTTAACCTGAAACTGTTCTTAACCTGAGATACCACTTTAGCTAATGGGGCTTCCTGCTGCCGCCGCGCCGCTGCCACATGATTTCTGTTCTCATCCTGAAGCAAAGTTTTTAACCCAAGGTACTATTTCTGGGTTAGCGGAGTCTGTAACCTGAAGCGTCTGTAATCTGAGGTACCACTGTATGGGGAACTCAACGCCTATTTATATTACACTCCAAAACTAGTTTACTGGCCATTCCCTATCCCTAGGAACTCTGAGAATTGCAGTTCCTTAAGGGAGGACGCCGGTGGCCCTGTGGTCTAAACCACAGAGCCTAGGCCTTGCTGATCGGAAGGTCGGCAGTTCGAATCCCCACAACGGGGTGAGCTCCTGTTGTTCGAGCCCAGCTTCTGCCCACCTACCAGTTCGAAAGCATGCCATGTGTGAGTAGATAAATAGGTACCACTCCGGCAGGCAGGTAAATGGCGTTTGCGTGCACTGCTCTGGTTCGCCAGAAGCGGCTTAGTCATGCTGGGCCACATGACATGGAAGCTGTCTGAGGACAAACACAGGCTCCCTTGAGCTATAGAGCGAGATGAGCACACAACCCCAGAGTCGTCCGCGACTGGACCTAACGCTCAGGGGTACCTTTACCTTTTAAGGGAGGTTAGCTGTCTCCTTACAACTAGTGGTGTGCTGAGAAATATGATACTTAATAAATTCAAATTACAGTCTCAACATGTACAGTCCTCTATATGAGCATATGAATGTCTCAAGCTCGACACATTTATTTGTCTTATATTAATGGGTGTATCTTTTCCTTAGTTTTACAGACTAGCTTCCTTCTTTTCCAATTGGCCACTAAGAGATCTCTTCTCTCCCCAGCGGTGAAAAGTGTGTTTAGATCCATTTAAAGTAGCCAAAGCTAAGGCATAACTGTATTTAGCTGTAACAAGTCATGGAAATAGTTTCCTTACCAACCACTTATAATTTAAATTGTGAACCGATACGCTGGTAATATTGCCATCAAAGTTTTCTTTTTCAATGATGTCAATAAATTTATATGAATGACGCTCCTTCATGGTGTACATTAAAGAGGAAATGATTGGCATTTTTTATCCAGGCTTGCCCGTCTCTCAGTGGCATTTGTATTGAGAGCTGCTATTTCAGACTCCCTTGTGTTTGCTTCTCAATGTTTGTTGGCTTTGTAGTTTTCTGTAATTTAGGTAACTGGGCCACTAATTGTTCTCACTTGTGAAAACATGGCTCTTTAGAAGGTAGCCCCTGTCAAAAGCCTGTGATTTGGCAGCTTCTCCTCTAAAACTCAAGAGAAATCAAACTGTTAATGTAGCCTTTTCTCCTTTAAAGTTTGTTTTAAATATCTTAGCACAGTTTTTCTGGCTTCAATGAAGTCAGTCAACGTTGAGGCTGCGGAGGAAACATCAGTGTGAGGGTTATTTTTCTGGGTAAATGAATGATACCTCATGTAAATAAATATCTATAACTATATAAATAAACCAGTTTTTACCAACATAATTATATGCTATTTATACATCCCAAAGTTTGATAGAGAGAAAAGCAAACGCTCTCTTTCTTGTTCATACAAAGGTCATAAGGATGAGGTAGCAAACATTCCCTGTGTTTCGTCATTTCAGGCACTTTCCTGGCCCTCAAGGCTGGACGAAGAACTCCCAAAGTCTTTCATGTGCAAATCAGATCAGTATGTAGACAAGGCTCTGGTTACAAGGTATAGCAGGTACAAGGGAGGTGTAAATGCATGACTAAGCACAAATGAAGACACTAACCCAACAAGCGACACACACCCTGCATCTTCCCTTGGAAGAGCAGGACTGGCACAGCTGTTAGCAGAGAAAGTGGCCAGAGTCCCTGGACTGGACAAGCAAAGGGGGCACTCCCTTAGGTGCATTGGGCCTGTAAGTTTGTTCACACAGGTGTCGCCATGGAGACACAGGTGGAGTTGGAGCTGGCTTAGCATCTGACTTACTCTCAGTTGCCTCCCCAGAAGGAAGAGGCGTGTCATTTACAAGAGAGGGTGCCAGAGGCGGCTGCACAATAAGAGAGGCCTTATGAGAGGCATTTGATATCGCAGGGATGCAACACTTCTATGTCAATCCACATGAGAGCCAACGTGATGACTTCCAGGTATCACTGGACTCCTAACTCACATAAGCCCCAGTCAACATACCCAATGGGCCAGGGATGATGGAGGTTGAATACAATGACCATCTGGAGGGTGTTAACATTGGCTACCCTCTGCAAATGAACTGGATGCAGACTTAGTCACCCACACAGACCCACCAAAATCAATGGGAGTTAAGTTAAACATGACTTAACTTTTTTAGAAAGCTTATTTACATAATTTTGCTGAATTCAATAAGTTCCTTTGATTGATCCAATCAGAGCATATATTATCAAATTATATTGTGGTGGAACATGCATGACTATAATCTCATCTGTGTGTTTTTAAATTTCGCTACAAGGTAAGAGATCTCCAGCTTTTTCAGTACAAAAGTGTCTAACTCAAATTCCACTGATTTCAATGGGTATACTCGAAAGGTGACCAAGTCCAAATCCAACCCATTGGACATAAAAAAAGTGCTATTCTTTGGGGGTAGGATTCCATTGTTAAGCACTTAAAAAAAAAATATCCCACTGCATCCTTTGTCAGGTATCTGTGCAACAAATCTAAATCTCCCCACCCCTGTAATCAACTTTAGTTTAAATGACACAGCTTAATGGTAAAACAAGACCCTTCAGCCATAGGCCAAGATGAGAAAGATTTTACATGGGAATCTTGCATGTAACAGACCAGGTCACAAGGTGGTCAGAGTTCTGTTTAAGAAAATTATTTATTTTCACAAGCTTTGTTGTAACCACAATTAACTGCAAGACGTTAGCCTTTCACTGGAATCTCTGTGACTAACTGCATGGGAAAGTATGTAAAATAAAGCCAGATAGGGGGGGGGGACCTTTTACAGTTACAAATTCCTCAAGCATTTGAGTCAGC